AAAAATGAAAACTTGAGAAAATGAAATAACTGACAACGAATAATCATTATTATTGATTTCTAATGACAATAAATTGGATACTAACTTATATCTCAAAGTAAGCTAATACTCTACAAAGTACTATCGATTTAATTATTCTATGAAAAAAGTCCTAAATTTTCATTGTAGTATTTAAATTTAAATACTGCAATACATTTCTCATTTTATTTTATATATGTGACATATGAAATCACTTACATTTTCATATATATAAATAAATTAAATTTATAATAAAATTCTGCATTCTAAAACCGGTAACAAAGTTATATCTAATAAAAAAAAAATACATTTTTTAGCGGTATTTTCAGTAAATGCAATAGCAAGAGATACTAAAAAATAAAACTTTACAGAGTGATCAGAAGGGCTACTGTACGAAGAAAATCTAAAACAGTAACCAGAACGGCTACTGACAAAGAAAATCCAAAACAGTAGCCGGAAGAGCTACTGAAAAAGAAATCACGATGTAGTAGCCAGCCTAATAGAGCTACTAAAATACAAGCATTTCTTACTTTTCTAACAATACAATAACCAGAAGGGCTACTGTACAACTATCTACATTACAAATATTGTAATAAAATATTTTCAAAATCAAACGCGAAGAGTGCTTTGTCGTATTTAAAATTCCCAGAAGCAAGTACGCAACGTTATTAATCCATGCACTCACCTCTAAATACGCAACATTAATTGCGACGTCCAGTACAATTATGCTGGAAGTTGCTGATGAATGGTCATTTCTGTACAGCTCTTGTAGCTGCATCACGTAATCCAGGAGCAGGAACAATCTTCCATGAATTCAGTGGAAAAATTTGGGCAACGCAACGCTAGTTCAAGAAACGCGGTCATTATCTCAACATTAACAATCAGAGGAAAACTAATTAGAAATCGCGTTGGGACAGTATCGCAACACTAAGAGTAAAAATAACTGAAAGCCGCGATAAAATAACATCGCAACACTAACTCTAAAACTCAATTCAATCAAAATTATTATCAACAATACGATCAAGCTACTATATGAAGAAAAAAACTTCCAAATATTCTAACACTCTCGAATTAATTAAAAGCAATGACTCTAATCTAATTTAAAACAACAGAAAGCAAAATGAATTTTATCATATATAAGATTAAGATTAATTATAAAAATTCATAATCAAAATTACAAAAGACAATCGCGGTATCATAATTCGCAAGCAAACTCTAAAGCAAACACGATTATCATTTTTTCACAAAAGGCACGAAATTATTTCGCAACTCTAATTCAACCCGTAATCAATCTTTTGAAACACTAACAAGAAAAACTGCGATTTGCCCAAAACGTTGATGAACGATGATGAAGAAAAAGAAAAAAAAATACTACTACAAATATTAAAAGAGCATAGTGACAGAGAATGACATCCCATGCTCTGGAATCATTTAAATGATC